CATGAATCTTAGACTGCGACGACTCATGTGTCCGCAGACTTTATCTACGTTGGCTCGGCAGTTCGCAACCGTTCGGCCGTTGATATCGACAATCGTCGCAAAGTTCGTGTGCCATCGGCCTAAGACTGCGACGGCTCGTCTGTTCGCAACCATTCGGCCGTTGATATCGACAATCGTCGCGATGCTCGTCTCGCTTTAACGCTCGCCTGCCATGAATCTAAGACTGCGACGACTCATGTGTCCGCAGACTTTATCTACGTTGGCTCGGCTGATCGCAACCGTTCGGCCGTTGATATCGACAATCGTCGCGATGCTCGTCTCGCTTTAACGCTCGCCTGCCATGAATCTAAGACTGCGACGACTCATGTGTCCGCAGACTTTATCTACGTTGGCTCGGCAGTTCGCAACCGTTCGGCCGTTGATATCGACAATCGTCGCGATGCTCGTCTCGCTTTAACGCTCGCCTGCCATGAATCTAAGACTGCGACGACTCATGTGTCCGCAGACTTTATCTACGTTGGCTCGGCAGTTCGCAACCGTTCGGCCGTTGATATCGACAATCGTCGCAAAGTTCGTGTGCCATCGGCCTAAGACTGCGACGGCTCGTCTGTTCGCAACCATTCGGCCGTTGATATCGACAATCGTCGCGATGCTCGTCTCGCTTTAACGCTCGCCTGCCATGAATCTAAGACTGCGACGACTCATGTGTCCGCAGACTTTATCTACGTTGGCTCGGCAGTTCGCAACCGTTCGGGCGTTGATATCGACAATCGTCGCAAAGTTCGTGTGCCATCGGCCAAAGACTGCGACGACTCATGTGTCCGCAGACTTTATCTACGTTGGCTCGGCAGTTCGCAACCGTTCGGCCGTTGATATCGACAATCGTCGCGATGCTCGTCTCGCTTTAACGCTCGCCTGCCATGAATCTAAGACTGCGACGACTCATGTATCCGCAGACTTTATCTACGTTGGCTCGGCAGTTCGCAACCGTTCGGCCGTTGATATCGACAATCGTCGCAAAGTTCGTGTGCCATCGGCCTAAGACTGCGACGGCTCGTCTGTTCGCAACCATTCGGCCGTTGATATCGACAATCGTCGCGATGCTCGTCTCGCTTTAACGCTCGCCTGCCATGAATCTAAGACTGCGACGACTCATGTGTCCGCAGACTTTATCTACGTTGGCTCGGCTGATCGCAACCGTTCGGCCGTTGATATCGACAATCGTCGCGATGCTCGTCTCGCTTTAACGCTCGCCTGCCATGAATCTAAGACTGCGACGACTCATGTGTCCGCAGACTTTATCTACGTTGGCTCGGCAGTTCGCAACCGTTCGGCCGTTGATATCGACAATCGTCGCGATGCTCGTCTCGCTTTAACGCTCGCCTGCCATGAATCTAAGACTGCGACGACTCATGTGTCCGCAGACTTTATCTACGTTGGCTCGGCTGATCGCAACCGTTCGGCCGTTGATATCGACAATCGTCGCGATGCTCGTCTCGCTTTAACGCTCGCCTGCCATGAATCTAAGACTGCGACGACTCATGTGTCCGCAGACTTTATCTACGTTGGCTCGGCTGATCGCAACCGTTCGGCCGTTGATATCGACAATCGTCGCGATGCTCGTCTCGCTTTAACGCTCGCCTGCCATGAATCTAAGACTGCGACGACTCATGTGTCCGCAGACTTTATCTACGTTGGCTCGGCAGTTCGCAACCGTTCGGGCGTTGATATCGACAATCGTCGCAAAGTTCGTGTGCCATCGGCCAAAGACTGCGACGACTCATGTGTCCGCAGACTTTATCTACGTTGGCTCGGCAGTTCGCAACCGTTCGGCCGTTGATATCGACAATCGTCGCGATGCTCGTCTCGCTTTAACGCTCGCCTGCCATGAATCTAAGACTGCGACGACTCATGTATCCGCAGACTTTATCTACGTTGGCTCGGCAGTTCGCAACCGTTCGGCCGTTGATATCGACAATCGTCGCAAAGTTCGTGTGCCATCGGCCTAAGACTGCGACGGCTCGTCTGTTCGCAACCATTCGGCCGTTGATATCGACAATCGTCGCGATGCTCGTCTCGCTTTAACGCTCGCCTGCCATGAATCTAAGACTGCGACGACTCATGTGTCCGCAGACTTTATCTACGTTGGCTCGGCTGATCGCAACCGTTCGGCCGTTGATATCGACAATCGTCGCGATGCTCGTCTCGCTTTAACGCTCGCCTGCCATGAATCTAAGACTGCGACGACTCATGTGTCCGCAGACTTTATCTACGTTGGCTCGGCAGTTCGCAACCGTTCGGCCGTTGATATCGACAATCGTCGCGATGCTCGTCTCGCTTTAACGCTCGCCTGCCATGAATCTAAGACTGCGACGACTCATGTGTCCGCAGACTTTATCTACGTTGGCTCGGCTGATCGCAACCGTTCGGCCGTTGATATCGACAATCGTCGCGATGCTCGTCTCGCTTTAACGCTCGCCTGCCATGAATCTAAGACTGCGACGACTCATGTGTCCGCAGACTTTATCTACGTTGGCTCGGCTGATCGCAACCGTTCGGCCGTTGATATCGACAATCGTCGCGATGCTCGTCTCGCTTTAACGCTCGCCTGCCATGAATCTAAGACTGCGACGACTCATGTGTCCGCAGACTTTATCTACGTTGGCTCGGCAGTTCGCAACCGTTCGGCCGTTGATATCGACAATCGTCGCAAAGTTCGTGTGTCATCGGCCTAAGACTGCGACGGCTCGTCTGTTCGCAACCATTCGGCCGTTGATATCGACAAACTTCGCAATGCTCGTCTCGCTTTAACGCTCGCCTGCCATGAATCTAAGACTGCGACGACTCATGTGTCCGCAGACTTTATCTACGTTGGCTCGGCAGTTCGCAACCGTTCGGCCGTTGATATCGACAATCGTCGCGATGCTCGTCTCGCTTTAACGCTCGCCTGCCATGAATCTAAGACTGCGACGACTCATGTGTCCGCAGACTTTATCTACGTTGGCTCGGCAGTTCGCAACCGTTCGGCCGTTGATATCGACAATCGTCGCAAAGTTCGTGTGCCATCGGCCTAAGACTGCGACGGCTCGTCTGTCGCAACCATTCGGCCGTTGATATCGACAATCGTCGCGATGCTCGTCTCGCTTTAACGCTCGCCTGCCATGAATCTAAGACTGCGACGACTCATGTGTCCGCAGACTTTATCTACGTTGGCTCGGCAGTTCGCAACCGTCGGGCGTTGATATCGACAATCGTCGCAAAGTTCGTGTGCCATCGGCCAAAGACTGCGACGACTCATGTGTCCGCAGACTTTATCTACGTTGGCTCGGCAGTTCGCAACCGTTCGGCCGTTGATATCGACAATCGTCGCGATGCTCGTCTCGCTTTAACGCTCGCCTGCCATGAATCTAAGACTGCGACGACTCATGTGTCCGCAGACTTTATCTACGTTGGCTCGGCAGTTCGCAACCGTTCGGCCGTTGATATCGACAATCGTCGCAAAGTTCGTGTGCCATCGGCCTAAGACTGCGACGGCTCGTCTGTTCGCAACCATTCGGCCGTTGATATCGACAA